CAAACAGTGCTGTTGAAGTGCAGGGCCTTTCTAATGCATCTGAACATCTCCATAGCCAGCAGCTGTGGTGCAGAGCGCAGGCACTTGGCCTCCCTTTGCAGAGGGAGCAGATGCTCAGCAGGTCACAAACAGTGCACGATGCAAGCAGTCTGGGTGCATTGCTGATCTGATCTCAGTGCTTGTGCCACTGGTTGAGCAAGTGCATCCTCAGGTGAAAAAAGTCAGTGCTATTTCAAGTGGCTGGATTAAAGCAGTAGTAGAGGTGGAGTTTGTTTTCTCAGTGGGGTCTCTGGTTTTCTGTAAGGGCTTTTTAGGTGGGGAATGGAAGTCAGAGGGGTAGCCAAGCTGAAGGGAACCAGTTTTGACTTGGTGTAATGGTGTATTACCTGGGAGACCTTGGACTGGCTGGTATTGTGTTGGGTGGTCGTGTTTTATTTTTTATTTTTTTATTTTTTTAAATATATCTTCATCAGCAAGTCTAGCACTAAATGTAGTGATATTCTCTGAGGTGAATTTGGATGCTTAAATATCTTGACCTGAATCGAGGTATAAAAATAGAAGCCTGCTGCATCTAGATGCTTCTGCTAATCTTCCTGCTGAAGGACAAGAGACCAAAACATTTGCAGCCAGTAGGGAAAATCCTGTTTTCACTGTGCTGTTGCAGCATGGCCTTTGTCCCGGCTTCAGTGGCCAAAAGATGCTTTCTAATGTCTGTGCTCCAAAGATGGCTGGGTACTGGAAATGTACCACAAACCTTGAGTACAAGGGATGCTCTGGAGCCATCCTGCACAGGCTCTGCTGCTTGGTGCTATCTGCCCGTGCTGATGGGGAAATGGGAAAGGGCTGGAAGGAGGGAGTCCTGACATGATGTTGCCAGACCCAGGTGGGCCATCCTGGGACTGCTTGGTGCTGGGCTGCAATGCTGCCAGTGATAGGGCTGCGCAGAGTTAGAGCTGAAACTCTTGACTTTCAATCTGTTTTGTACCTCAGGAGGCTCCTGTTCTGTAACCAGCACTGCTGCAGGGAAGCACTTGTCAGCTTGAATCTGTCTGCAAGGCACTCATTTTCAGATGGAGATAATTTCTAGCTGCTGTTGCAAAACAGCCTCAGCAACCTGAGGACCAAAGCAGCTGGCACCACAGCATGGAGCAGTTCTCCGTGGGAGCATGACTCAGGTGTCCTTCATACAGTGCTATTAGCTCACTGTTATTAGAGATCTCTAACGTCCTCCTCAGAACTGCCACGAGAGGGCAGGAGCTGATGCTGCTGTTTCTGGTTTTGGTAGAGCTGCAAATACATTTCTGACAGGTTTTCAAGTCAGTGTTCAGACCACATCCTTCACTGCTTCCTTCCAGGGCAGCTTCCACTTCAGTGGCAGGAAAGCTCTCCCACAGCACAAGGACTGTTGGTCCTGAGCCCTTTCCGCAGGGGGTTTGTTTCCAGGTGAAGTTTGATTTGTTCCCTGCTCTGGATGGAGCAGCAAGAACCTCCATAACCTCCATCCTCACTGCTGTTTTTGGTGTTGTCTGCCTGGCCAGAATGCTGGGGGGAGGAACGGGGATCTGCATATTCACTAGAAATCCCTCACATGCACTGTCATTGCTGCGTTAAATTCCAACAGCTGCTGCACTAGCACTCACATCCCCACCACCTGCAGGGTAGCTGAACACAAGTTCCAAATAAGCAGGAAAAACTCTTTATGTGGAATTAAGAGGTTAATGGCCAATTTCACTGTCTGGGAGAGATTTAAGTGGAACAAAGCAGAGGCTGCAGTGCCAGCTGACAGCTTTGTACCACCATCTGTGTTACAAGCACTGGGAACTTCAGCCCAGGGTTGGAGAAGGGAGAATGAGTAAGTAGTAAATGATGAGGGTGGGAACAGCTGCCTGGAGCATGGAGCAAAGGAAATTACTTCAAGCCTCCACTATAACAACTTTTTTTTTTTTTTTTTCCTGGGTTTTGGCTGTTCTCAAATAATGGGTTCTTTAACCTTTCATATATTAACAGCAACTGCAGTGAACACTTACAGACCATAAATCCCTACCTTATTAATGTCAGCCACAGCATCGTGTCTCTGTTCTTTTGTCATGAGAGCAGAGAATCTCCCCAGTGTGAAACACCTGCAAACCCTCTGCCATGGCTGAGGAGCAGAGACTTAAAACTGAGACAGTTGTCTGGAAAATCATAAAGGCAGCAGCAAGCCTGGCTCTGGGAGAACATGTTTATTAGATAGATCAACAGTCACCTTTCTGAAGAAACAGATGGCATTGAACTCAGGAAACTGCTGTTGAAAACATCACCCCCACACGTGCCATTGCATAAGGAGCAGACTGTCAGACTGAAGAGATCCTACAGCAAAGCATCCATGCACGGAACATGTTTTAAGACCTTTCAACCAGGTATCACTTCAGATGGTGGCACAGTGTGAAGCTGTATGCAGGTAAACTCACTGCAGCCTTCTGGGCGTGGAGTTTGCATTTTATCTGCTTTGAACTGTATTTTTTCATGAGCAGAAGCTGTTGTGCAGTTGTGCTCTGATTGGAGCTGGGGCAGGTAACTGTGCTCCAGGGAAAAGAGAGATTTAAGCAGTGGTAGCTGGTAATGTCTGTGTGTTCCAGGTCTTTCACACACAGCTATTTCTCCTGCTACTGTCGATAACTGCTTCCAAAATACTTCTAAAAAGGAAACAAAAATTCCTCATATCTCTTCTGAGCCAGCAGGAAATACTTACTAATATTGATTCCAGTGTGACTCAGCTGAGAGATCACAACAGTTGCCAAAACAACTGGTTCTACACTTCTAGTAAAGGGATCCACCAACAAAAACAAGCCAGAATAGAAACAAAGAGATGAAAGAGATCTGTAAGGCCATTTGGAGAAGTACTTCTCGATATTGTAAAGATGCAAACGCTCACAATAAAATCCCAGTGCTCATGTTATCATTTCAGAAATTATCTTTATTTGGTGACAGCACAGTGTGAAATAACCACTTCTAACTTGGCTGCTTTACTTGGCTTTTGTTCTGGAGGCTCTTTGTTCCTACAGTTTCGAGGTCCTGGTAGTTCACTTACAGGGTGGTATCACTGTAAGCCCTTCTCACAGTTACCTCCTGATACATGCACTCAAAACACATGAGGTTACGTGTCCACATGTAAATATGAAGATGACTAGGCAATTAGTCATTTTACCACAGCATGTACTTCTGTGCTGTTCTTATAGGTACAATTGATACCTTGGATGATTCAGGACTTAGAAACATCCATGCTGGCACAAACAAAAACAAACCCTAGGCAGCTGAAAGACAGAAACAAAAACATGTAGACAGTGGGGTTTGTTCAGCCCACAGGAAGAGCACTAACAGTAGCTCATAGGAGGATTCGGTGAAAGGCTGTGGTAAGATGTCAGAAAAGAAGCTGTTCAGACTGAGGAGCAGCTTTGTGTCCTCACACTGAAGGCATTTGAGAATAGTTTCAGAGCTCCTGTCACGCACTGTAATGCTATAATGTGATGGAAAGTACAGCAATAACAGCTAAGCAGCAAAGTCTTAGGCTTCAGCAAGTGAGAACAAACCCAAATACAGCAGAAACCACAAAAAAGCTGCTTACCATTGGAAGGTAGGCTGCAGTCTCCAGCAAGACAGCTTTGCTTCCACTGCCAACCCTTAAATGTGGTGTGAGAAGGGGTGGATCCTAGCTCCATTGCATTGCACACACCTGAGCTCCCCTGGGTTGGCCCTGCCTTCCCACCAGGTGCTCAGTCACTGCTTCAGGCCCTGACTGACATTTCTTCTACACCCACCAGTAACAAATAACATGGTTTGGGTCATTCATTTGGGTTATGCAGTGAGAAAACCTAGTTACAGCAAACACGACCATTAACTGTGTAAACAAACACCTTCCTCACACTCTATTCTCTCCTCTTTGAATCCATACTGTCACAACAGTGTGTCACCTGAATGATTATTTTGGCAGAAGGCTGTTAAAAAATGTTGCATGCAGCTTAGAACCTTGGCTAGTGTGAAACACCAAGATCTGCTGGCCTGGAGGGACCATCTTAAGCAAATGTGGTCTTTTCTGCTACTCCTGACTGTCCTGTACAGCACAGTGCCTCTGGTAACCAGTGTGACTTGGAGCTAAATGCAGCACACATGATTGGTTGGCTGAGACTGCAACTTCATTTCAAATCCTTCTCCAAGGTTTATCTTTTTAGTCAATATCTGCACATTAAATTCTGTTTGTTCTATCAGAGGTTAAAAGCATGCAGCAGGCATATATTTAACACCACGTTCTCTAACACTTGTAAAATAAGCTGTCTTTTTTTTTTTTCCCCCCTCCTGCAGCTTGATGCAGAAATAGAACCTGGAAATGAAAGAGTCATCATCTTGTTCTGAAGTACAAAAACCCACTAACAATGTGGAAGGGTTGGTTTCTACAGTGCACAACTATTTTACTTTATTTAGTTGCACCAGCTCAGTACTACATGGGATTACAAAGATACCTGCTGTGGCTTTTGCAGACAGAAGTGCATGGCACAGAGAAAAGCGCATGTCTCACTGCAACATTTCCATACTGCCTTCTTCTTTGGAAAGCATCCTAATTTCAATGATTTCCCACTTCTACCACAGAATTATTAGTAAAAACAACTGGGATTGCACTGATGTTTTCAACAAAGGAAAATCAGTACAACCCCAAACCTTCCTATTCTTGAAATACAAAAAGATAGTAAAAAAGGCTGTTACAAAAAGACTTGGCAGGTCTTCTTTTGAGATAGTCCAATATTATGCATAAAAATGCTGTACAGTCAATGGGTGCACAGAGGTGAGGCTAAGCAGGATTATCGCAGTAGAAAGACAATAAATGAAAAATGCTCACCGACGTCGTAGGCTCGCAAAAGGAGCAATCTCCAGAAAGATCCTTCCTCAGTGGCAGTCAGCACTTAAATGGGATCCAGGAGAGGTGGAGCCAGGCTCCACCCCTTCTGGTAGCACAGGAGAATTGCCTTCACCTGTGCTCTGCAGCTCATGGCTTGCCTCAGGTGGTCAATCAGAGGTTCAGACCTGATCAGCAGTTCCCATACAACGCTAAACAGATCTGACAGCATTAATTTATATGTTTTCTCAACCTGTATCCTTCTGAAAGAATAATATTCTACATAATTACTCCAAAGCCTTATGGGTTAGTGTTTTGTTTTTAGAATGAAGGTCAGGTAAAATGTTCTCAATTGAGTCAGATGCTCATTTTCCATTTGAAGGAAAAAGAAAACCAAAACGAATCCCCGCTGCTTAACTTCTGTGTGTACCTTTGACCATCTCACTTCTGAGTTCAGTACTTATGAATCCTTTCTGTAGCAGGCACCAGGCAGGGGTTCTGCATGTCGCTTGGGCTCACATCGTAGCCCAGCTTCTTCATATCTTTAGTCACGACGTTGAAGGAAATGGTGACAAAGCCTTGAGATCGTACCCTCGTTACTAGAAGAAAGAAGACATGAATAATGCTGGTTCGCAGCAAATTTTGAGTCATTGCTGAACTCAGTAACAGGGCAGGTCTGCTTTTCCAGGAGGAGAAGCAGATGGCCAAGCTGTGGCGTGCTGTCATGCAAGGGTTAGAGCAGGAGCTCCTGCAGAATTACCTTCTCTTCCTTCTCCCCGTGCTACCACTTTTGGATCAGTAAATTCTGGACGTCTCCCTGTGAACCAACTTGGAGAAGAGAACAGCAAGTAAATAATTGGACACAGTTGGTAAAAGAATTCAGGTACCAGACTGCTGTCCTTTTTTTTCAAACCAACAATTTTGAAATGTGAGGATGAAAACCCAACAAGTTAGACAGGCATTTAACTCAGTTTAAAATGCTTCAAAAAACCCAGACACCTGAGAATGTGACTTTACCTCCATAGCTCAAAACTGTCTGGTTATGAATGAAAGAATACACACACACACTCATCAGTGAGCAGCTGGGCAGATGCTTGTGAATAAAACCATGAACTTCTTTAAAAATAAGCAATCTTAAATAATTACCTTGTAAACTTCTGCAGCTTGGATGTGGACTCCGGAACAAACATAGCAATGGTTCTTTTATGCCTAAAACAATTCAGATACATCAGAGCACTGAACAAAGAAAAAAAAAATACTTGTATCAAAAGTGTTTGCTTGCATAGGAAGAGCATAACTGAGTCAGTTTCCAGGGGTGAGAACGAAAGCTTAGCGTGTGCTGAGAGTAATGGGGGGAGAGCTAACGTACTGCTCTTCATCTGTGGGCTGACTTTGGGCAGTTCTAACTTAAGGAGTACCAAAATCCTAAAGGATTGCCAAAAACTATTGGATAACATGGGACTACTGCTAGAAATTCCACGTCCCTTCTGCCAAACGAACAAGACACGATAAGCAGATCCAGAGATGCTTTTGTCTCTGAAATGACTCGGTACCTTGGAAATTCATCTCTATTTCAGCCCTGAACGATGACAGGGCTGTCACCTCACCTTCCCGGCGTGAAGGGAATGTGAACGGCTCCATAACCTCTGACCACATCATTTCCGAAGAAATCAGGTCCATAGACGCTCACTACAATCTGCGGCCCTGCAAAAGACGTGGCTGTGAGAGAGGCTCCCTGCACGCAGGCTGGCTCCCACCCCGCAGCACCCACAGCCGGACGGGTTGGTGCTCTTGAAGGTGATGTCGATGGGGAAGTTCCAGACGAAGGTGGTGGGTGCGACGTCGCTCTTGGAGGTGATCTGGGAGATGCCCTCCTCCAGGCCCTGCGGGGAGAAAGCGGCGTGAGCCCGGCCCTGCGCTGCGCGTGCTGCCGGGGGCGCAGAACGGGGCCTCACCGCCGCCGGAACCCAGTCCTGGCCGTAGACGAAGCAGAACTTGCAGTAGAGGTCGTCGAACCCGGGGAACTGCAGGAGAGAGGCTGCGTTAGCGGGGCCGGGCCCGGCCCGCCGTCACGGACGGGAGCTGAGCCGGGGCCGCGCTACGGGGCCGAGCCGCCGGGCTGGGCCGCGCTGCTCACCGCTCCGAGTCCCGCCCCGCCCCGCCGCTCACCTGCCCGCTCTCGATCTGCCCGTTGACGGCCACCATGAAGACGCTGGGGCTGCTGGCGGCCGCCATGTTGCCGGGGGCCGTTGCCGTGGGGACGGACGGAGCGGCGGAAGGGACAAATTTCATCGGGGCGCGGCGCTCCGCGGAACGGCGGGGCGGGGTTTCGGAAACCTCCCGAACTCGGGCGGCTCTTTGTAAGCCGTTCCTGCCGCTCAGGCGCAGGGAAACGGCCGCTAGGTGCTGCTGCTGGGCAAGGAGCCGAGCCTGGGCTGTCCGTGGGAGGGAACGCTTCGGGTCGGGGGTCTCTGGGGCTCCCACGCGGTCTGGTGTCACCCCGCGGGGTCACAGAGCTGCTTCGTCCCCACGGTTTCCAGCATTATTCGTTCCCACGGACGCGTTCTGTGCCGACGTTCAGTCAGATTTTTCAGGTTGTATTCGAGATTTCAACGCCCAGCAAACAACAGCCGGGCAGCAGGAATGGATCCAGGCGGAGGGGCGGGAGGGGATGGCCGCAATGTTATCCTTTCCCTTCCGTCCCTCAGGAAGGTTTCAAAGAAAGTCGTATATTTCATCCGAAAATTGTCAGGGGGAAAAATAAAACCGCTCCCGATCAGCCATCCGTTGCTGCAAAGCGAAGCCGTTTAATTAACACTCCTTTTGTGGCTGTTTGTTTTGGCTGCCGGCTACCTGGGCTGCAGCTCAGAGCAACCAGGAATGGTTACCGATATCCCACTGGAGCAGAAAAGAGCAGCAGAAAGCCAAAGCAGAAATGCCGGCCTTTGCTGTTCCGCGCCCACCCCTCGTTATGGTGGGTAATTGATGGGATTGGGGTCCGGCTCTGACAGCAGCTGCAGAGCATTGCTATGAGATGCACGGTTTTCTATTCAGAATTAATTTGTATTGGAACGTGTTTCCATTTGTGAGACCCTTTTTTTTTTTTTTTTTTTTCCCTTTCTTTTTTGATTAATGAGGAAAATTAATTAGGGCCTCCATCTGAGCCATGGAATAAATTAGCATGCCAACAGGAATGGGGAGAGGGTGAGGAGGAGGACTGAGGAGCTGCGTTCCAGGTTTGGTCAGGGCTGGAGGAACAGGAAGAGTGAGCAGCTCTGGGGAGTGGGAGAAGCTTCGGTCTGGTGGGATGCAGCAAAATCCCCAATGAAAACCCTGCCAAGAAGAAGCGATAGACTCAGCCATTAAAACACGGCCCTGGATTTAAAGCTTAATTGCAAAGGTTTAATGGATAAAGTCAGTTTGATTATTCAACCTAAGGAGGATTGTACAAACATCAAATAGTTATTAGTATCAGTGCCACCCGCGCGATCTCGCAGCACTGATTGATTAAGGGCTGTCTGTAATTGCATGGGGATGGTTCGTATCTGTGCTGCTCTCATGCTTTTATTCTCTCCTCAGTTTGGCTGTTTCAGGTCGATGCCATCTGAGATTCAGCCTCAAGGTCCTCGCTTGCTGCCTTCCCCGAGGTCCCTGCAGGCTGCACTTTGGCCAAATGGTAATTAAAAATGCAGAAGAGCGATCGATCCATTTAAATAGTAACAATTCACATTCATCCGGTGCTTTTCACTTCCAATCTTCAGCAACACCACCCTTGCAGGCAGCCTGGTGGAAACGGCTCAGTGCTGTGGAGGTTCAGTGAGCAGGAAGAGCAACACTGAGCTCTGCTCTGTTGGTTATGGCCACATCTGTTGCTGAGGCTGCAGCTCGGGGATGTCTTTTCCCCCCCATAGGAACTGCTGCAGTTCAGGTGCTGCCCCTGCTCCAAGCACTCTCTTCTGTGCCATCCTGCTGCAGGAGCTGAGTTCATCCATGCACTCGAGAGGGGAATCAAATGCTTCCCACAGCCAGAAATGAGGTCTGTGGTTGGCCAGAACCACCAGTGGGGTGCTTCAGCATGGGGTTGCCCCAGTGGGGTTCCAGCAAACCTCTCTTTCTGGTTGCCTCTGTGCCTGCTCAGCTCCCAGCCATCGCAGCACGCCGAGGCGAGTGGTTCCCATACTCACAACTGTGTCCTTCCAGATATTTCATCCCTTTGAGAAAAGGAGAGCCAGGAAGACATGGTCAGGTTCCCATTGTAGGGGGGATGCTGGGGATGCAGCATCCCTGAGCATGGGGTGGAGGAGCTGCACTCAGCACACAGGTGATTCCCAGATCATCCCAACACCAACACTTCCAGGCTACCCACATGGACAGGGGGAGCCATAGAGCAAGCCCAGAGCTTCACCCTGCTGCTGATTTGGCCTCATTATTATTAATTACCTTGGAAAGCACATGTTGGCCAATCAGCAGATGTTCCAGCCTCAACCTGGCTTTTATTCCTCAGCAGGAACCCCCTGGTCAGCAGCAGCAGGCAGCAGATGGCTGCTCTCTGTTGGAGATGGGTTTGTATGCAGCTCACTGCCCACTGCAGAGCCTCAACTGGAAATCACAGAGCAGAGCAGCGCTTTGTGGGACAGACCTCCATCCATTGCCAGGCTCCCATCAACCTGGGTCCCCCCCCGGGGCTTTGGAGAGTGATGGCAGCACCACGGGACACACAGCACCGCTGTGCTCAGCTCAGGGCTCAGTCCGCATCCCCTCCTCTCCTCAAAAGGACACAACCACTGCCCCCAAAGCGCTGTTAGGAATTACCTTGATGGTGCTTTTCCAGAATCCCCCGTTAAACCAACAGGAAGGAAGAACTGCAGTCATCCCCCCTGGCTGCTGGTTGCACAGAGCCGCGCGGGGCCCCGGGCTGCTCACAAAGTCAGGCCAGGCTTCCAGTTTATACAGTTTAATACATGTGAAACGAGATACATTTCCTTTTGAGTAATGAATGCATAAATAACAGAAGATATACGTGGATGCATAAATATGAAGCGGCATGGAATGAACCAAACGAAAACGGTTGCTTTAATTCTTTCTGTTGGTTGGTTGGTTGTTTTTTTTCCCTTGTGTCTTTTTGCTGCTGGTGCGCAGTGCTGGGGCCGACCGACACGTGATGTCAGTGCTCTGTGGTGAGGCTGTCCTGAGCAGAGGGCCTGGCTGAGGAGCAGGGAAGAGGCAGGGAATGGAGGCTAAGAACGGAAAATCAACCCCAAAACGAAACATGTGTATATTAAAAAGTATTAAAATGGTGTTGACTTGAACTCGAGAGGCTTTGGAACGTGGCAGAGGAACCACGTCCGTGTGGGTGTGGGTTCAGGTTGGATATTAGGAACAATTCCTCCTCTGGAATAGCGGCGATGGGTCAGTGCCATGGAGGCGCTCAGAACCGCGGGGAGGTGGCACTGAGGGATGTGGTTTGGTGTCACGGTGGGGTTGGGGATGTGAGAGGCCTTTCCCAGCCTCACTGGTGCTGATTACCACTGTGAACAGAAGGGGTTAATGCCACCACTGTGATCTCACAGCGTTCCACCAGGAGGAGAACAGATCCCACTGCTCACACGGCCCACCACCACCAGCAGCTCTTTGCGCCTCGACACGCTGTACCAACAACTCGCTTTGAACTGCAGGAAACAAAATACATTTCTTAAATAATTTACTATTTATTTTTGTCTTTTTTTTTTTTTAATCTCTTCCAATTGAACTTTTGCCTTTTTTTTTAGTGTGTGATGCAGGACACCTTGTTTGTGCACGGTGCTTCAGATTATTGCAGCGCTTAACCTGAATATCTGTTAAAAGAAGGAGGGAAAAAAAAAATAAAACAAGCGAAAGGACCATTGTACAGACGAGAAGGATGAATAACTTATTATTGCACTGGCTACAATTCAGTAGTGATTTGGTTTCTTTCTGTTGTTAGGACACAACCTCTAAAGTACAAAAGAAAAATGAAAGGGGTGGCGAAAGGAGGAGCTGTGGGCTGATGGTGAGGGGGAACGAGGGGGAAGGAGAGCAAAGGAGGAGCAGAAACATTTGGGAAACGAACGGCTGTAATAATCAGTTCCACATAAAACCCAAGGAAACACCACCTGGCCGCGGAGTCACACGTAATGCAAAAAACAGTATTGTTTCTCTATAAAAATATGTGCATTATGAAGAAGAAGAAGAGTTTTTGTGGGTACTTTTTTTTTTTTTTTTTTTTTTTTGCCTTGTTTTGTATCTCACAAATACATTATTTCTATTTATATAACTGCTGATATACAGACAACGTACAGCTCCCATCTCCGGGGCGCTCTCACGGCGTGTGACATCTCTAAAAGTGCCTTTTAAAAAGTTGAGCATCTTTTTAAAAACAAAACGAAACAAACAGACAAAAAAAAAAAAAAAAAAAAAAGAACAACAACAAAAAAACCCCCACAACAAAGTGACCAAGAGAGCCCTCAGCCCCCATCCGCCACCACCTGGATCAATGTGACCGAGGGCGCACAGGACCGAGAGCCGCCCCCCGCCTCCTCCACTTTGCCCTTTAGAAAAGCCCCCTCTGAACCCCCGCCCCGAAACCCGGCACCGTTTCATCCGTTTGTTTGGTTTCTTCTTAAATAATAATAATAATAATAATAATAATTTTTTTTTTTTAATGTTTTCATTTTTTTTTTTTGCAAACCTCCACAGCGCTTAAGAAGAAGGGACTGCAAGAAAGGGAAAAACCAGAGCGTGGCCACGTGGCCGCACATTCCCTTCTGTGTCCAACCCCACGTCGGTGTCAAGCCCTTGAGACCCCCCACACCCCCATCCCAGACAGCTATACGGGCTCGTCGATGTCTTCTTCTGTCGCAACAGTCACCAAGTCCTGCATCCGGACGGGGCTCTTGGCCACGCTGAGCAGCTCTTTGCTTTTCTCGGCGTTGCTCCGTTGAGTTTTTAAGGGCTCCGGCTTTCTCAGTTCGCAGTCCGGTGTGGATCGCCCACTGTCCAGCAGATCCGAGAGGCTGCTCAGGGAGCCGCCGCCATCCGACTGCTCGAAGGAGAAGCCGGGGATGGCGAGGTGCTGGGCGCGGCGCTCCGCTTTGCAGCCCGGCTCCCCCGGCTGCGCCTCCGCCGGCTCCAGGGGCTCTCGGTACGCCGGGAACTCGCAGGACGGGGTCCTGCGGCGCAGCATGCTGTTCTCGGAGGGTTTGGTGCGCGAGGCCGCCCCGCCGTCATCCTCCATGGGAGGATCTATAGAAATGCAGGGCGGGCTCATCTTCTTCTTCCTCCGGGCTCCATGGATGTACTCAGACTCCGGTTGGATGTGGGCGGGGGAGCGCGGCTTTTCCTCGGCGCGCTCCTCGAAGCCGCAGTCCCCATCGCGGACGGAGGGG